ATCATCTCGTGGACTGGGTGCTTAAGCCAGGTGTGACCAGTCCAGGTATGACCAAGACATTGCTCTGTATTCTGCAGGGTATGGCCTTTCTCCACAACAGCATTATTTCATCTCATGGAAGTCTCAAGTCCTCCAACTGTGTGGTGGATAGTCGTTTTGTGCTCAAAATAACAGATTACGGTCTGGCTAGCTTCCGATCAACTGCTGAACCTGACGACAGCCATGCCCTCTATGCCAGTGAGACTGCTCCCTGCATCACCGCCCTTCCGGCTCTCCCTCCCCCGCCACCTACCTTTTATATTGCCCTTAAGGTCTTGATCATTTCCCCCCAAGGAAGATGTGAGAGCTAGCCCAGTAGCAGCAACATGGGGATGTGCCCAGGTGGGACCCAGGATACCCTAGCCAGCCTGTACACTCTTTGCAGAGAAACTGTGGACTGCCCCAGAACTGCTTATTGGGAACCCCTTGCCAACCACAGGCATGCAGAAGGCAGACGTCTACAGCTTTGCGATCATCCTACAGGAAATAGCGCTTCGCAGTGGCCCCTTCTACTTGGAAGGACTGGATCTCAGTCCCAAAGGTGAGAGTCAGTGGCTATTCATAGCCTCCTCTGCTAGAGGAACCTGGTTGTTCATCCAAACTTTCTGTCACCCTCAGAGATTGTCCAGAAGGTGCGAAATGGTCAGAGGCCATATTTCCGGCCAAGCATTGACCGGACACAACTGAATGAAGAGTTAGTTTTGCTGATGGAGAGATGCTGGGCCCAGGACCCAGCGGAACGTCCAGACTTTGGGCAGATCAAGGGCTTCATTCGCCGGTTTAACAAGTGAGAGGGCACCGAGGCTCAGAGGCTCCCAGGGATGAAAGCCCCATCATTCTTAGTGGACGAGGCTGGTGGGCCCCGGGTGTGGGTTGGACAGGGAGTCCTGCTGGTCTTGAAGACCTTGGAGCAGGTGTCATAGCCTCGCCTCCCTGCAGGGAGGGTGGCACCAGCATACTGGACAACCTCCTGCTGCGTATGGAACAGTATGCCAATAACCTGGAAAAGCTGGTGGAGGAGCGCACACAGGCCTACCTGGAGGAGAAGCGCAAAGCCGAGGCTCTGCTCTACCAAATTCTACCCCAGTAAGAATGCTGTCCCCGCTTCCAAAAAGTGTCCTTGGGTTCTGCCTCATCTGTCTTCTGAGAACTTGACTGCAACCCTGGGAACCCTACTGTGTGACTTCTTGCCACAGTGAGGCCCACTGGCTAAGGCTAAATGCTCTCACTTTGTCTTTAAATGAGCTGTGCTGTGGACTTTCAGCTTCTGTCAGTCCTTAGGGCACTGTTCTTCCTCACCTTTGTCTCAGCGACCGTGTTTAGAACAATTTCAACAGAAGCGCTTAGCCCCACGTGTCCCTCACAACTCCCACCATCTGTGCACCCCACTGTCCGCTAGGCGACATCTCATTCACTCTCCTTTTCTTCCACCAAATCCAGCTTTCATGTTACAGTGTGGCTGTGCCAGAGCCACAGACCCTGTCCTTTGGCTCCCACCCTGTTTCCTGGAGCCGGGCTGATGGTGCCCCCTTGCTTCCTAGTTCTGTGGCAGAGCAGTTAAAGCGGGGAGAGACGGTGCAGGCAGAGGCCTTTGACAGTGTCACCATCTACTTCAGTGACATCGTGGGTTTCACAGCTCTGTCAGCTGAGAGCACCCCCATGCAGGTGAGGGCTGGGAGCAGGTGCGGGGCCCCAGGGTTCCAGGAGCCTAACTGGACTAGTTTGCTATAGAGTTCTTTGGTCTTTTGGCTTGAGGGTTGAGAATTATTAGGAATTTGGGCACATATTTCAGAGCCTCTGCTTTTCCATCCTATTAGGTGGTGACACTTCTCAATGACCTTTATACCTGTTTTGATGCCATAATCGACAACTTTGATGTCTACAAGGTGAGAATTGGAGCCGATATCCTTTTTTTAAAAAGATATTATTTATACAGTATTCTACCTGCCTATATGTCTGCAGGCCAGAAGAGGGCACCAGATCTCATTATAGAGGGTTGTGAGCCACCATGTGGTTGCTGGGAATTGAACTCAGGAATTTTGGAAGAGCAGCCAGTGCTCTTAACCTCTAGCCCCTGACATCCTTCCAGGACTCATTTGAAACCCAGTTTCCTAAACCCTGCATACCATATAGACTGCACAGTCAGTGCCCCCACGTTTCTCCCGCACCTTTAGAGGGTGTGATTGTAGCAAATGTGGACCCTGGTCTAACATCTGTGATTCTCAGGCTTTCCTGATCACAGCCATCACATGCTTTACCCCCTCAGACGATGCGGGCACAGCCTGGTATTGGGAAAGACGCGAGTACATGTCATAAAGCTCTTTGTTAAAGTCACCGAGCTGGCCTGATTGTGCTTGGGAATGTGCTGCATTTGAATGTTGGTCTAATAGCCAATTATGTGGCCTTAGGCAAGGAACAGGATTTCTCTGAGCCTCGGTTTTTGCAGCAATATATTAGTTACATGAGAACTGATAGGCTGGTGAAATGGCTTGATGGGTACCAAGCCTGATGACGTAGGCTCCCTCTCTGGAATCTATCTGATGAATGAGTGAACCAACTCTCATAGGTTGTTTCTGACTTCCACATTTGTGTGTGCACGCACACACACAAACACATGTGAGAACTGTTTTTTTTTTTTTTTTTTTTAAGTGCCTAACATTGAGTATGGCATATGGCAGATAATAATGTTGGGCATGGTGACACCTACCTGTCATCCCAGTGTTTAAGAGTTTGGGGCAGATGGATCATGAGTTTGAGGTCAGCCGTGGTTCACAGGGAAAGGCAATCTAAACAAACAAGGCTCTTTTAAAGCTACATTCTCTGATGATTCTCTAACAAAACTCCCATAAATCCTTTACTCAAATTCATTAATTATTTTTATTTTCTCCTATTTATTTTAAATGTCCTCCTCCCTCCCTAGAGTGTTTGGGAATCAAACCCACAGCGTTTCCCGTGCTAATCTATTCTACTGCTTGGCTCCATCCCTGGTCTTATTTTATTTTTTAAAAATTCATTTAATTATCTTCTGGACCATTTGAGAGTCAGTTTGAGACACAGTACCTCTTTATCCCTAGATGCTCAGTGTGGGCTCCCTACAAACCTCACTGTGCACCGCAGGTTGGGAACAGTTACAGCGGCAAGCTCGGCTGCTTCTTCACTCCCGGCAGTAAGGCTGTCTGCTCCACACTACTGAGCCTGCCTGCTTGAGCTTCTTTGAGCGTTTGGGTTCTTTGGACGAGAGCAGTGACCCTGTCCACTTGTTCAGCAAATGCCACTGAGTGTTCACAGGGTGCTGGGGGCATGAGGTGGAGTTATGTATTTCCTGGTCTGACCTTCTCTTATCTCCAGACTCTCAGGACCATGGCATGCAGTTCCTAGTCTTTCTAGTCAATCATGGCCTTGCAGGTGGTTGTCAGGGATGACTCCTGGTGTGTGGCTTATCTTACTTTTTTACTCCCACGGATACAGCTAGAAATGAGTGATTAAAACTAGTTTTATTAGTTTTATTATTTATGTGTGTGTGTGTCAGTGTGACTGTGTGTCACATGTGTGCAGCTGCCCATGGAGGCCACAAAAGGGCATTATAGTCTCTGGAACTAGAGTTCCAGGCGGTTTAAGCTGCTATGTGGGTTCTGGTCACTGAACTCAGGTCCTCTGGAGCAGCAGCCAGTGTTCTAACTCCTAAGCCTACAGATGACCCTTTACTTTTCCTTTTAAATCAGGTGGAAACCATTGGGGATGCTTACATGGTGGTATCTGGCCTCCCAGGCCGAAATGGTCAGCGCCATGCACCAGAAATTGCTCGAATGGCCCTAGCATTACTAGATGCAGTTTCTTCCTTCCGCATCCGCCATCGACCCCATGACCAACTCAGGTTACGCATCGGTGTCCATACTGGTAAGGCTAATTCTCACCCAGCCCTGGCATCTGCTTTTCCGGTCTCTCCCAACCAGTATTTTTGTTGTTGTTGTTTTGTTTTTTTTTTTTTTTTTTTTGAGACAGGGTTTCTCTGTATAATAGCCCTTGCTGTCCTTGAAGCTCACCCTGTAGACCAGGCTGGTCTCAAACTCACAGAGATCCATTTACCTCTGCCTCCCGAGTGCTGGGATTAAAGGCGTCCACCACCACCACCTGGTAACCAGTTTGTTTTTATAGGACCAGTCTGTGCTGGGGTTGTTGGCCTGAAGATGCCCCGGTACTGTCTTTTTGGAGACACAGTAAACACTGCTTCTCGAATGGAGTCCAATGGTCAAGGTGGGGACATCAGCCTTTAACTCCAACCATGACCTGGGTCTCTCTGGCTTTTTTTCTTCTTTCCAGAGTTCCTCCTTATCTCTTGGTTGGATAGTTTTGAAATGCCCCAACCTTGGGCATATATTGATTCACAATCGTGCACTGAAAGGGTTGGGGCTTCTTGAGGGCCAGCTGCTTGGGGAAAGCACTCCCCAGCACTGTTAATCCTCCTCTGGCTTTTTGTTTGATTCTTCTTTCTCCCTTTGTTCCTGATCTACAACCGCTCCTCCCCACCAGCTCTAAAGATCCATGTCTCCTCAACCACCAAGGATGCCCTGGATGAGCTAGGATGCTTCCAGCTAGAGCTCCGTGGGGATGTGGAAATGAAGGTGAAGGCAGGCCATGGGGAAGCAGATCATGGGAGGATAGAAGTGGGAGAAGAGAGGGAGGTAAAGATTGACATAGAAGAATCTGAACTATGCTCACTCCCCTGTCTCCAGGGAAAAGGAAAAATGAGAACTTATTGGCTCTTAGGAGAGCGAAAAGGACCTCCTGGACTCCTGTAAACCCCAAGCCAGACAAGCTCCTGCCGCTGGCACTTGGATGGACAATGGCCACAGTCTCTGCACACAACAAAAAACAGACATTGTCATATGAGATGGAAAACATTCACAAGAAAACCCTGCCTTATATGGAAATCACAGCTCTCTGCAGCTCAGCCTTGTACATATACCTTCCCGTCCCGGCTTTGTCCTCTTCCTGACTTTTGTAAATATCTGTATCTAGACCAGAATATTTTGTCCAAGTATAAAACAACAACAGTAACAAATCATGGTGTCATTGTCTAGAGATGCCCAGGCCATCCCAAAAGAAGAACAGTAGGTGTGGAAACAGTTATTCACAGAATCAACAGTTAGTATCCTCAGGATGAGAGTGCTTTATGTGAAACCCTCATCAAGTGCAGAGAATTAGCTCCACTCACACCTACCTCTGTGGTACAAACAGAAATACAGTCCAAATTCCATGTCCCCTTCCCTCCTTAACCCTTAGACTGGAGTTGTTCTCTCCCTTCCACACCCCTGCCCTCCTCCAAGGCAAGGGAAGACACCGTTTGGTGGGGGTAGCTGTCAAGTTCATAAGGCAAAGGCTGTCCCAGAGACAAGGGCACTGGTGTTGAGAAGCTGCAGTTCTTCCGGAATGGTGTGTCCAGTGTCGTGATGTTACTGACGCCCTGAAAGAGTCCCAGGAGAAGGACAGCTGCCACCCTTTCCTGAGCTAGAACAGAGGAGCCTCTCTCCCGCACCCCAGCACCCAGTCACCCACACACACCCACAGCTGCGGTGCTCGCTGTATCCAGAAGGTTTCCGGCTGTTCCTGGCAGTAATCATGAGGCTATGAGGGAAGAGATATTGAGTAACTCTTGGCCTTTGGTTCTTTCTCAAAGCTTCCGTGTTTGCTGCTTCCCCTCTATTGGGAAGAGCCCAGCTGTGCAAGCAGAGTAGGCTGGGTTCTCACCTTGGTTGGGGCTGGAGGCCCTGTCTGTACTCCATCCACTCCGTAGTCATGGTGTGTTACCGACTTGGCCTCAAAGAACTCCCTTGTAGGTTCTTGCTCTTCTTGCACCTCTTTGCTGTGAAGCCCTGGGAGAGGTCAAGGCCATCCCAGGTTTTCTCCGCCCCCCTTTCCCCTTCCCAGGCTCTCACCAGATCTGGTCATGCAGGAGCTTCTCCAGCATGGCTTCACGCTTCCCTAGGGGCAAGCAGAAGAGGAGCGTGGTCAAGAAGCAGTTTTAGAAATGAGTTGAGAAAAGAAGGGAAGTCTTGGGGTTTGCCCATAGAGCCACCGAGCCCCACCAGAAAGCCCTGTCTCTTTTTTTCTGCCCATTGGGCTCTTTCTGGTCCCTTCTTTCATGCTTCACACCTCGAAGTGGTTGACAGGTGTGTCTTGGAGGCTGGTATGAATCTTTCTGGGTGGTGACACAAGGCATGGGTGATGGAAGCTGTATGCTCAGCAGTCCTTTGTGTCCATGTCGGAAGAAGTAACTCTCAGGGACATCTTTCAATATTGGAATTTGATCCAGGTGGTTGGTGGCTCTCTGTGGACCCCATGGTCAGTGGTTATTAGTTCCCTTTTCATACCAACCTACATCACAAACTATTGGCTTCCCTGGAAAACTGAGGTCAACCTTTAGGAAGAGGGACCAGGTCAAACCTTCATACCTCTTCCTCCCAGTTGTAAAGGAGACAATGGCCACGTGGCAGTGTCTTACGGAAACAATCAGGTTTGGATTTTGGGGGTTTGTATGGCCCTCGTACTCCAGGTTCTGAGACTTGCACAGGTTTCCAGGGGTGATGGTATATCTCCTTGGGGTAGGGCAAACTCCATTCATTAAAATCAGGGAGCAGAACTGGTGGAAGGCTCTTGAACTCTTGAAGGGGGAGGGATAACTACTGACCTTACAGCAAGGTCCAGGGGCAAGAACAAATTCTGGTGCGGGAACAGATCCATAGGCAGGAGCAGGTCCGGGTCCGGGTCCAGGTCCAGGTCCGGGTCCAGGGGCAGGAGTAGGTCCAGGGGCAGGAGCAGGAGCAGGAGCAGGAGCAGGAGCAGGACCAAAGGCAGGAGCAGGACCAAGGGCAGGAGAGGATATAGAGGCAGGAGAAGATGATACAGAGGCAGGAGAAGATAGACAGCCAGGATAAGGTCTAGCGGGAGGACCAGGTCTAGAGGCAGGACCAGGTCCAGAGGCAGGAGAAGGTTGAAAGCCCTGGTCAAAATCAGAGCAAGGGCCAGAGCCAGAGCTGTGAACAGAGCTACGGCCAGGATAAGAAGGGCTTGCGCTGAGGTCGGCGGTTTTACAGGGGTTCCGAGGAATGTAAGAAATATAGAGGGGCTGATAGCCAAACTTCCCTTGGCCTGTATGATGGAAAGAAGGGCAGGGTGCCTCCACAAGACTGTCAGAGGAGGGCTCTGTGTATAAAGCATACTGCTCTGGAGCCTTGGCACATATCACAGCTGGGGCGGCCCTCGGACTCTCACTGGAAGTGCTCTCTAGTCCTTCAGAGCTGGGCTGTATATCTAAAGGTCTGAAAAAACCGGAAACATAGTTGTCAAAATCGCAGCAAAGTTAGTTCGCAGACTTTTCTTGTTCTCTTATATCTATAGCTCTTACGGCGAAGCAAAGTCCTCCGAAGACTCGGGAGTCTCCATTTTCAGACTCCACCCACTGGGTTGCCATAGAGACAGCAAACAACTCCGGGAGACTGCGCACAACCCGAGCTGGGCGGAGCCAGGGGTGGCGGGTAGGAGATAAACAAACGTAGGCTCTCCAGGGCGGAAGTCTTAGACTTGGTGCTCTGCAGTCGTCCCGGCTCCACTCCGCCTCACCTGGGCTTTTAAGGTTCCACTAGTCTGAACCCTTGCCTCCATGTCCAACTTAATTCGTTGTGATTTAGGTGATTTAGGGGGATACATTGGGAGACAAGTAGAATGGGCATCAATATGAACTCCCATTTGTTTGGTTCATTCCCTAAGTTGGGAGAGCAAAGTCTTTTTTTTTTTTTTTTTTAACAGTTTAGGGATGAAAATATATAAGGTCTGATAATGCAGCTCAGTGGTAGGATTGCTTGCCCAGCATGCCCAAGGTCCCGGTGCAGTCCTCAGCACACCTAGAGACAACAGCAAAATGGAAGGGAATATGGTACAACAAACAGGTCTCAGTCGTCATCCAGGCAAATTTCTACTGTTATTTTTTTCCAGAAGCTTGACCAGGAATGGACCATTAGATTCTAGCAGATCTGCATTATACACTCCTTTAACTACTGACTGGGTCTTAGAACGTTTTATTCTGACCATGGTCAAGTGAGATCAGAGCCCCAGCCAATTTTCTTTTACCTTTGCGGTATAAATTTGTTACATATTTAAGACAAAGATGCAAAATTGAAGGAAAATAAGTTTATTAACACCACAGGATTCCTTTTCCCTTTTCCCACCCAAGCATCCAGGTCTGTGGTCCTTGGCCAGCTGGCAGGATTAGCCAGGTGGCCACTGCAGCTGTCGGCCTCCAAGGACATGAATGTGCAGGTGATACACAGACTGTGCGCCCATCTTCCCATCATTGACCACTGAAACAGAGCTTGAGGTTAGTGACCATGATCAAAGAATAAAGAGCACACTGAGAAACGGAATCATGGACAAGTCACTCACCAAGTCGATACCCATCCTTCAGACCCTCAGCCTTTGCTATCTTCTTGGCCACAAGGAGTAGGTGTCCCAGCAGCTATAGGGAGAGGGGAGGGACAGAGGTGGCTGCCTCCAAAGGAACCAAACCTCTCGCTCCATCCAGGGCTCCTTCCAGACAACCCCCTGACCGTTTTCCTCACCTGCTGGTCTTCTTCTTCAGCCTGGCTAATTCGAGGAATGGGCTTCCTAGGAATGACCAGAAAGTGCACGGGAGCCTGAGGGGCCACATCCCGGAACACCAGACACTAGGAGCAGCGATAGATGAGGGCACTGTTACTTCATCGGATCCAATGGTACCTATCAAATTCTCAAGACGGTTGGACCCTCACCTGCTGATCTTCATATAGAATGTCAGCTGGGAGGCTTCGGTCCAAAATCCGGGAGAAGATGGTCGGTGCTGCTCCTCCAGGCGCTGCTTTCTGAGCCTTGGTCACTTCACTCCCGTCAGCCACGCCTGCATTCCCTCGAACCTGAAGGTGGGGCAGGTGAATCCAGGGGAGAGACTCTGCTGGCAGTACTTTTCCTACACATTTAGCTGGGGCTGTGAGAGGCTGGGCTCTTGAGTGTTAGTACCGTAACGCAGGGAAAAGTTCCTGAGTCAGAGCCTGAGCAGCAAAGGGTGGGCCAGATGATGGTGGACCTGGCTACAGAACAAACTAATTACTATGTAGGACTTAGCAGTGCAACTGATTCCTCTGAGTCTGCCTAAGAAATCTAGCACCGTACAGTAAAAGGACCCAGCATGGCAGTTTCAAGAGTGACATCTCCATCTGGGTGTGGACTTGCAGCTAGGACGGGAAGGCAGTGTGGGACACTGTCCGCCAAAGCAAATAAACATATTGAGCTCTCAGTTCCTATGCTACCCTCTGAAAACACCTGATGAACCTCTCCTACAGCTTCAAGGAGTGTTGTGAATCCCTTCCTAGGAGGGCTTGAAGCTCCTTACTGTTTCTACTCATTTCTACTTCACGGTTTCTGATCTTTAAGCCTTGTTACTTGATTTAGGTATTTAATATGTTTGTCCTACCTGACATTGGCAAACCTCTCATTTGGGTGTCAAATTTGCTATCTTGGTGTGCAGCCTTCCTGTTGTTGCTATGCAGGCCAAACTGGCAAAGTCCTGGTAATTCTGCTGCCTCACTTCTCTAAATGCTGGGATTACAGGCATGTGTCACCATGCTTGGCTTCTTACATTGGATTTTTATTCCAGTAACTTGAAAACGCGTAGTTATGCAAGAGTTCAGCTAAGTGAACTCGGCTCTGCTAGGGCCGATAGGAAGTAGGAATACCCCATTTTCCCACCGGTTCAGTCTGCGCATTACACTGCAGCGAAACAGTGGAATAAATTAAATCGCTTCCGCAAAGTGTGGAAGGTGAAAGTGCGAAACTGGTGCACATGTATTCCAGGGCCAGAGGTCCGAGGAGGACTCCCAGAAAGCACTCCCTTCCTGCAGGGTCCCGGCAGAGGCAGCCCAGAGCAGGCGCTCGGCCAGCAGCACCCTTTCTGTTCCAGCCCGGATGCCCCGCTGTTGCGGGAAGCGGCTGCAGGCAGATCGCTTCTCCAGCGGACTCGAGCCGGACCTCCCGGCAGTCCCTGAATTTGACCCTTGGGAAGGTAGTGGCTCCCCGGGAATGCGCGACCCGCCTGCCGGCCCCGGAACACACTAGTGCCCGCTAGACGCCTCGTTCCTCTGGCTGCCTCTCACCTGCGCCCGCCGGGCCCCCAGGGCTGTGCGCGCACCGCGCAAACCCGCTGCCAGCAGCACGGCAGCAGCCATCTTCCCGGAGCCTGCCGCCTGCGGGCGCAGCCCCATTGGCCGCGTCCAGCTCGGAGGCTGGCCCCGTGCTGCGCGTCATTGGCTGCCTCTGCCGACGCAGGGCCAACTTTCGTTTGGTACCGTGAAAATTCTTTCTCCATTGGATCCTTACGCAGTTTCGCTAGGAGATACATTCCCATTCCATTGGAAGAACGAAACCTGGGGGTGGGATATTTTCCTAATGGGCTCAGGCTTACCACCTTGACCAAGCTTAGGCTGTGGCTCCTGAATGGGTGGGACTTGCTCGTTCTCGGCCTGTCCCTTTTAGCTCTGGCTCCCACTGGTGGGGGTGGGGGGAGAGGGTGGGGCCTCGCCACCTGCTGCACAAAAGGCTAAATGTAGCGCAGCCCCTTCTCCGCATTGTCCAGAAGGGCGGGGTTCAGAGGACATTCGGCGCTTTTTGGCTCCCGAAGGCGGGGCTAAAGGCGAACTGGGCCCCTCCCCCCGTCTTTTTAATCTGTAGGGTAGGTACCTAGTCTTACCAATTTCAGCCCTTTGACCACTCCAAAGATTTAAAACATTGTATGAAAAAAAATTAAATTAAGGTCAATTTATGTTCTTGCTCCCACTTACAGCAGACACAGAAGCCTATGTATGCTGCACTAGGTATTACATTTTTTTCCCCACTTCATAAGTGTGTGGTGTGTGTTAGCTTTATGCCTAGCATTTTCAGTGGCAGGTTTGCTCGTGAACATACTCTTTTCTATTTTTTTGTTTACAGAAACTGTCTGTGCGTTATGTGCATGTGAGTGTAGGCGTCCACGGATGCTATCGGGCATAGAATGCCCTGGAGCTGGCAACCGCCTGATGTGGTTGCTGGTAGCCGAGCTCCAGTGTTCTCAAGTGCAGTATGTGCCCTTAACGGCTTAGTCATCTCTCCAGCCCCTAAAGATTTACGTGCATATGTGGGGATATGTGCAAGTCGTGGTGCGTGCCGAGGCCAGAAGAGGGCGTCAGATTCCTTAGCGCTGGAGTTACATAGAGGTGGGTTGAGCCACCAGATGTGGACCAAGGTTCAGTCTTCTACAAGAGTGGCAGACTCTCAAGCACTGAACCACCTCCCGTCTCTGCTTTGTATTTTGAAATAAGAAAACAGTATTTCACTTGAGAGGCAGAGGCAGGAGGGTAACTCATAATTTCCAGGCCAGCCTGGTCTACCTAACAAGACTTGGTCTCAAAAAAACATTAGTAGTTCCTCCCCCACTCCATCCTCACCACTGGTGAGTTCTGGTCTGGTACAATAATATGTTACTATTGTACCTTAGAGGCTGTTTTGCCTTTGCACATGGCCTGATATGTAAATGCTCAATAGTTTTTTTTTTTTAATCTGGTGTTTCACTGTTCTGCTTTTTATATGGTAATAGATGGCATGTTTATTATTCTCTCATGTTTTTCAAATTGTAGTTTATACACTTTGCAATGCCTACATACTGTGTCCCCGATGGCCCAATCATAGTAACTCTATTAATCGAATGATTTTTATATAATTGTCAAAGCACATACCACCAATGTTCAGAAGCTTCTGGAATTAGCACAATCTCTTTTGCATACCCACTTTATTGTAAAGCCCTTTCTTCTTCAGGGGGTGATATGTGATCATGATTTTCCCCCAGGGTCTTAGCAATCTAGGCTGCATCCCTTCCTTTGCAAAGACAGATGACCTTTCTAAATATGAGGAAATGTGGGATCACCTTGCCCCTGAGCCCTAAGATGTGAGACTTGAAAGCTGCCCCAGAGAAGGGCAAGAGGTAAGTGGAGTTGGGGTGAGAGGAGGGCGGAAATCTAGTGAGCGCTAAGTTTTGGAGCTGGGTGTTTCTTTGGGTTTTCAGAGAGAGCACGAAAGACAGGTTATTTCTGTTTTATAGATCCAGCAACCGAGGCCCAAAGAGGGAACCTCGCATCAGAACTGCCACCAGGGTTAGACTGTTCTGTGGCCATAAAATCACCATTTTGACCCAGACTCAAAGCTGACCCTGACCTGGATTCCTTATTCCAAACACCTGCCACCACCTGCAGCTGCTCGATGAAATCTGCATGTTCTGCAGTCCCTGTGCTGCAGCCCATGCCAACCCACCTGCCCCTGGACATCACTGGAGATTTCTTACTCCTTTTATGGCTGCCACCATCTAGCAGTTGTTTCCTGGCATCATGTGACACTTACTCCATTTCTTCAGACCCATTTCTTTTGCCTTCTTTTCCTCACTATCCTGACATCATCAGCCATTAGTCTAAATACTTTTCCTCTCTTCTCTAACCAGATCCTCACTTCCAACCATACTGAGTCCTAAATTGCACTCGTCAGGATTTTCTCTGATCCCGTTAGCCTTGCCCAGGGCTCACTTCTCCTGTTTGACACCACCTTTCTTACATCCCAGGAATAAAGATGTCACCAGAGGGGAACTTCTAGGAGCTCCTACTCCCCAAAGCTCATACTTCCTTCTTTGAAATGAAGTTTCTTGTCATCAGAGGAAGCTCCACCTCTGCCTTGACCTCATCCTCTCCTCTGTTCCAGAGATCTCATTTCCACCAAGCATGTCTCCCCTCTTCTGCATCCTTCAAGATCTTTATGTATATGGGCCTCTTCCCCTTCCTAAGAAGCTGCTTCCTTGATCTACAGCCCACTTTGGTATTGTTGATTTCTTTCCTCTACTTCTTACCTTCAAATGAATGGATATTTGCTGTTTGCCTTCACCATGGCGGTGTGAAACCATATTGCCCAAAGTCTCCAGAGACCTCCAACGTCTTTGCCAGTGGAACCCCAGCTACATCAGAAACCACCACTACTCTATTCTTCAAACTCTCCCTTTGGCTTTCTTGAAGCTAGTCTCCCAGTGTCAGGGCCGGGAGTCTCCCACTGTACCATGATAGAGGAAGATGACTGGAGCCGGCCTTCATTTGCTGGGTGCTATCTCTTGCCTGTAGTTTGAGCTGACTGTAAACTGAGTCTTGACGCTACCTGCCCCACATAGAGCCAGGTCAGATTCTACTGGCTTCCACTTTATTGTTGATCTTGGCCAGACTCAGAAAGACTTGTACCAGTTGTTGACATTGGCTGTCCCTGGAAAAGGGAAGAGCAAAGGTGAAGAAGTCGGGCATGGGGGTCAGATGCAGGGTCGGGTTGAAGGCTGCTTGGACCAAGAGGTGCGAGTGATCTAGGGTGGGTACTGGAGTGGCCAGAGACACCCTGTATCTGGAGGGCCTCAAGGTCAGAGTTCGTGAGTATGACATCTTGGAGGGCAGACATCCCTGCAAAAGGCACATACTCTTGTCCTGGGAATGGAAAGCAGTGCAGGCATGGGATGTGGGCTGGGCTGGGCTGGAGATGTCAGACCTGGAGAGGGTGGGAAAGGGTGGGAGCGACTTTCTGCCTGGCCCTGGCACGGTCCCCTGTCCCATGTTACTCCCTCACCGCAAGGTCTCCTTCCTCTTCGCCTGGTCTCCTCAGTCTCAAAGAAAGTCTCGTGTTCCTCCCAACGCCGGTCACAGGCCGCACAGAGGAAATTGGACTCAAAACAGTTGCAAGAACAGCCTAGGAAAAAGAGCACCCAGAAGAATATAAGGAATTATGGCATCCCCAAGAGCTGACTCATCCTCACCTCTTCCCTACCACACACCAGTCCTCTCATCGTCCCTTCTTCCCCCCCAAACAGCCCTTTGCACTAGAAATTACCACGGTGCCTGCAGGGATGCGCTCCGGTGGCTGCATGTTCTTCGTGAGTATGCTTACAGCGACATTGGGCTCTCCAGGCCTTGGGGTCAAAGGTGGCCCTTCTCTTAAGCCAGAACTCACCCACTTCCTCTGGGCGTGATGGGATGAAACAAAACATGAGGCACCTGCACTGGCTCACGTTGCAGGGCACCGACAGGTCTGGGAGGATGGAGATGGTGGGGCGTTAGCCAGCACCCGGAAGGACCTGGCCCTTCTATGCAGATCCGTGCCTGATTCAAGCTGTCCCTCCTTCCAAGACAGGGCTGAATACATGTATCTGACAAGAGTCTCTCCTACCTGAGATGATCTGGTGTTCTTTCAACAAATGTCCACAAAAGCACTTGGACTCATCTCCAATACGAAAACAGTCCCATAAGTAATGGGGGCAGCGCCAGCCAATGTAGAGACCTACATATGAGGAGATTAATAAGGAAGGGTGAAAAAGAAAACGCATCCTAAGCTCCCTACAAGTGTTCTGGTGGATCTCCTACAGTGGGGGCAGAGAATGCAGCACCGCACCTGCTACACTTGTCTCCCTCACTTATGGCTCTTAGACATCTTTCTTTAAAGCTTTATTATCTCAAAGTATCATCAGTTCCTTTTCCATCCCAGGATCCACTCTGTATCTGTCAGCCTATCAAAGATAACTGAAGGCAGTCTTCAGTTTTGGAGGAGGGAGAGTGCAGATAACACTGAAGATGAACAGGAGGCCCCTATGGCTGAAGGGTTTCTTACCTTCTCCACCCTTTATGCCAAAGTCCAGTCTTTCTAAGGTGTTCATGGTGAGGGAGGAAAGCTAACTGACCAAGAGGGCAGTAGGTGACGGGGATTGGCTCCTGGGAATTGTTTGTAAAGGAGGTGAAAGTTGGACAGTGCTGGTGACAAGTGGTGGGAGGAAGCCTGCCCCCTCACTCTCCAGGTTCACACCTCTGTAATGCCTTTTATATTCTAGTGTTACGTAACTAATGCCCTCTGTGATCCTAAGACGGGTAGCTGATGGCTCTCCAGAGAGAGAAAGGGGCAGGCCAGCTGTGAGGAATGAAACAGGACTATGGAAAGGAAAGTGAGGCTAGTATCTTCGAATGTGGGCATGAGCAGGTGGCTACAAGATCCTGGTTTTAGCAGAGGGTCTGGGGGAAATCAGCTTCAGAGCAAGTACCATCACAAGTCAAGGGCAGGGCTAGGCAGAGGTGACAAGAGAACAGCACCTCCTGCTTCTTCCTGAGAGCAGAGACTGTTCCAACTTCTAGTTCAGATCTTGCCTGAGTCCCCCCCGGGGACCTGCAGCTGCAGCACTCTGCTTGTTGCGGAAATGTCACCTCTTTTAAAAGTTGTCCTTGCTTCCCTACAAGGGAAGGGTCTGTATTTTCATCTCTATCTCTAATCCTGCCATGAAAGAGAAGTCAGAGAGGCTAGACTGCCCGACTGAACAAACGAAGTCCTTTAGTGGCATAATCCGCCACTCTGAGCCTTGGCCCAGTGTTCTTATCTTACCCATAGTTTCTAAGGTTCTAAAACCTGTTCAGGTGTGGCTTTTGGCTTGGCGGCTTCTGGATTGATACATTCTGCCGTGCCATGACCCTGCTGTACCCGGAATGTTTGGCTGAGAGCACAGGGAGAAGCAAAGTCACAATGGGTGGGTGGGAACCAGGGCTCTGCTAGAGCATTCTGAACTCTACAAAAGCCAACTGTAGCAGCTGAGCAGGTGATGTGCTGACAGCAGCCTGAGTCCTCCTGAAGATCAAAGTGTGGCCGTCTAAGCATGGATGTGGGAATCAGTATCTAGCATTCAGATGAAGAGTTTGAATAACTGGAAAAAATACCTCAGATTTTATTCTACTCTACTCTACCCTCCCCTCCCTTTCCCTACCTTACCCTTCCCTACCTTACCCTTCCCTTCCCTACTCTACCCTACCTTTCCCTACCCTACCCTACCCTACTCTACTCTATGCCGTTAAAGTGGGGAAGCTGGAATCTGGCTCTGGATTCCATCCTCTGATTCCAAACTCTCTTCCGATTAGAAGTGGACTAGGCAGGCAGAGAACACATTATCTTGGATGCCATTCTAACTCTGTACAACTGTAGCTTGTGGATCAGCTCTTGGTTTCTATAAGGTTTCCATACTATACATGGCTGTCTTTACATGAAGTATGCCCCATCCTAACCCTCTTGGGCATTAGACCCATAGGGCCATCTGTCTGCTACAGTTCCATGAAACAAGTGTTTTCATCTCAAAACCTCTTAACTCATCTCTTGTCCTCAGTTCATCAGGTTTGTGTGTGCCCTGCATTGTTCTGTTTTTGGTGCTCAGTTTATCCAATCAGACATTTAGCCAAGTATCACTCCAGGCATTTAACATTTTTTTTTAAATAATTTTTTTGAGGCAGGGGTTCTCTGTGTAACAGCTCTGGCTGTCCTGGAATTCTCTTTGTGGACCAGTCTGGCCTCTAACTCATGGAGATCCACCTGCCTTTGCCTCCTGAGTGCTGCATTAAAGGCGTGTGCATTCTACATGTCAAACAATGTCAGTTTTACCTGTTAGTGTCTTTTACCTGTCTCCACCTTCTCCCAGCAACTTCTCCCTTGATTGTTTCTCGTGTTTAAGCAGCCCCACATCCAACCTTGCCTTCTCCAGTCTAGTCTACTGCCAGAGTGGTCATTTAAAAGCACAAATAAGGTTGCTGTCCTATTTAAAATATTTGGTGATTCTCAGGTGCCCTTGAGATATGACAGTGACCTTTCACGTTGGCACAAAAATGCCAGCACAGTTATTTATTTCCAGAGCTGAGCTAGTACTTCCACCAACATTCTTGCACTAGATAAAACACTACACTCGTTTAAGATTCCTTGTCTTGTTATATCTCTGCTATTTTACTTAAAATTTTGTTTTGATAGGCTCTTTTTTATTATGCAGTCCAGGCTTGCCTGGAACTCACCATACAGACTGTGATAGCCTCAAACTTGTAATCCTCCGTGTCTAAAAGTGTGTGTGTGGGGGCACTAATTGTGAACTGGAGCTTGAACTCAACATGGTTAAAATTTTGTTATTTTTTGCTTGAGACAGGGTCTCACTATGCAATTGAGGGACAGTTTTATCTTTGAGGCCTTTCTTGCCTACTGCTTGCACAACTACAACTCAATGCCTGGCCTATAGTCAGTGCGTAATAGCTGTTGAAAGAATTTTGGGAAAAGCTCACATTTCCCATTTCTCTGCACGTCCCATATACCCTTAGAGAAACTGGACTCAGGGTCTTCAACATCCGAAGGGTACAGGCCTCAGATATCTTCATGTAGCATTAAGTGCACAAACCATTTGTTTAAGCAGAAAAACACAGGCATTTAAAGCAAAGAAGAAACACTGAGGTCTTGAAGAGTAAGGAGTGGACAGCAGAATCTACAACAGCAGAAGGGAGACTGTAGAGAACCTGCATTTGCAAGAAAAAAAATCTACGGTAATAGATGTTAATATAACCAAACAGAGGTCCCACTATCAGTGGAAACTCAGAAACAAATGAGACTTAAAAAAAAAAAAAAAAAGGATGAAGGGAAGAGGGTCCATGCATGGAGGTTGGGTGCATGCATTATGCCAAGGAGGATAAGAATATAGGATTTTTGGTGCTATTTCCATCCTAAGCAGAGCAGGTACGAAGGCCTGAGCAAATGTAGTACATTCTACTGAATTCATCTAGGAAGCCCAGAATCACAGAGGATCACAGAGCAGACCTCTTACTGAGATCAACAATCCGTACAGACGGTGAACTCCAACAACACAGGTAGACATGCTTACACAGTGTGCCCTGTGTTTACACAGCTCACCTGCACACCCATTACTGAGTTACACCTTCCACTCAGAGGACCATCAAGAGTCTCATTCAGCTGGGGATACAGCTCAGTGGGTAGCATGCTTGTCTAGCACGCACAAACCCCCAGCACCATGTAAAACCAGCTGTGGTGGCACACACATGTAACCCTAGCACTGAGGAGGCAGATGTATGAGGATCACAAGTTCAAGGTTATCCTTAAAGGTCATCATTGACTATATAGAAAGTTTGAGGCTAGCCTGGGCTACATGAGACCTTGTCTCAAAAAGTGTGTGTGTTGGCACTAATTATGAGCTGAGACTTGAATTCATTAAGGTTTTTAAGCCATGTCTCTCTTCTTTGGTGGGATGGTCATGGATCTGACATGCAGAAGTGACAGTCTGTAATGAAGTAAAGGGACCAAAATCTTTTGCCATATCCATATGAGAACATGGCTCCTAGAGATTGTCCAAGGTCCTGGGGCCATCTCTGCCTTAGGGTTGTTCTGTTATAGACTACCTAGGTACTATATCTGGGGCTGGCCCCCAACTCTTCTGTTGGTAACAATTTTAGTTACTTTAGTACATCTATATATTGCTACTTGGACTTCATTTGAAATCTCCACTTTTTTCAGGCCTACCTGCTCCCCTTCCAGACTGCAGGCAGATGGCATGGCCATTTCCACACTGAAGGGTCAGGTTCCCAAATCTGTTGAATTGGAAGCCGTCTTATGAGTCTGTTCCAGGCCTCTGGAAGGCTACCTGGGCTCACCTGTCTGGATGGACTTCAGGGATGAGTCCTTCTCCCACTCGAAAAGATGGTTTGCCTGAGTACCAATCTGCTCTCTGTGCATTGCTTTTGCCACTTGTATCACCTCTACCTCCTTAGCAGGGACCACCTGCTGGCCTGTAAAACCTGGGAAAGGAGGGGCTGAGTAACCAGAGGGGAGTGAAAGGGCCTGAAAACTAAGAGGAGTCATATGCAAGAGTTAACCCAGTTCCTCACTTCTGGTAAGTCCAGGACAGTGCAAAAGTCACAGGAATGGGGCCCGGGGGAAGGCACGGACAGTTACCAATTTTTTTCTCCTTCTTCTTGGCTGGGGGGACAGTGATGTTACTAGTACCCGCTTCCGGCTCATCTTTACTTGCTTCCTCTTGCCTGGTAGATGTGTCCTCCTCCGTCTGAGTTGAAGGTCCTGAAACGGACTGCTTTGGAAAGTACTCAGATTCGGGGACCTGGGTCTGTGAGACTTTATCAGAAGAAAGCTTACGGAAATATTCCAGGATACTGGTTGATGGTGAGGGATGAGATTTTGCTTTTACTTCAGAGGAAAGAGTCTCATCTGATCCCAAAGGGTTTTTACTGATGGCTTTTACCAGAGAGATCACAGACTGGGAAGAAGACTTTAAAAGGGTTCTGGAGTCTGGGATCTTTAAAACCTGGGATGGCAAGGAAGTAAGCTCTTCTGTAAGGGAGTGCTGAACAGGAGCCTCCCAGGGCTCCTCACAGCTCTCCATCTCAGTGTTCTGGAAAATAGATGTTTCAAAAAGGACTTTAGAGGCAGGAGGCTGGACAGATGTCCGTAAGCTGTGAGTTTCAGGGACAGTGGCCTCCTGCAAGTTTTCAGCGGAGGAGTCCTTCAAAGAAGGGTGTTCGTTTTCAGTCGTGGTGGTCTGAGGACCTTCTGTGATCTCATTTGCTTCCATCTAGTGGTAGAATGAGGTACAGGCTTCGTTAGATTGCGTTTGCAGGGTCTGCCAGTCAGGGCAGAGCCCCAGGGTTCACCGAGGTTACAGGATGAGGAAAAAATTATTAGTGCACTTAAGACATCAGAAGGAAGAAAGAAGTCTGAGTTTCAGGGTGTAATGCCAGGAGGGACTCTCATGTACCCCCACATGGCATAACACTGTAGGTTGGCATTTAAAGACAGAAACAGTCAGAATCCCATCAGTAGGTGGTAGCAGACAAGCACGCCTAGTCCTTTGCCCAGGGAGCCAGTCCAAGTGAAGCGGTGGGGGCATGTCTTAGGCCCTAGAGTTGTAGCTATGGAGTGCCGGCGTCTGAGCATGAAGCCAGCGTTGGGGTTGGCTTCCAAGAGCGCAGGGCAATGTCACAGTGCATACAGCAGAGCTGCTTTTGTCCAAGGACCACAAGCTCCTCCGTTGATCTCATTCCTGTTCAAGGCTTCAACTACTGCCAGACATGCTGTGTGCTCATGCTCCCCCACCTCTCTCCCCTCTCTCTGGAGACAAGACCAGGCTAGGTTTCTATGTAGCCCAGGCTGCTCCTGCTTCAGCCTCTTGATGGCATTATAAAGGTGCATCACCACGCCTGGCTACCTCTGCCTTTTAAATCCGCATGTCTAACTCAGATCTCTTTATTCCCCTGTGCTTTAGGTGCTTCGTGCTAGGTGTTTCCAACAAGAAGTCACACACGGACTCTTCACCCCAGCACATCTACCCACTCACTCTTTCATTGATGACACATTTTATAAACAGCCCAGACTAACACTTCACTGCAGCACCATGCTGCCCACTGGGATCGGGTGAGCTTGGGAGACAGACAATGTCTCATCCACAGTCCAAAAGAATAGCTGCTCTCCAGGATGCTGTGAGAAGGGGAGCTGCCGAATTTACCCAAGAAAGATCCAAGAGGGAAGCTCTCATTCCTCTTTCAGCAAGATTTTTTTTTTTAAGAAAAAAATTATTTATTATTTTATGTGCATTGCTATTTAGCCTGCAAGTGTGTCTGTGTGAAGGTATCAGATCTTGGAGTTACAGACAGTTGTAAGCTGCATTATGGGTGCTGGGAATTGAACCCAGGTCCTTCAGAAGGGCAGTCAGTGTTCTTAACCACTGAGCCATTTCTCCAACCTCCAGCAAGATCTTTTGAACATGTAAAACATTTTGACTCAGCCTAAGGATTACAACCAAATTTCTTGGCCCTGACATGCAAGGTCTGTTGTCAGCACCCCAGTCCTCTGAAGGTGCTAAAGACTGAGCTAAGGGCCTCTGTACGCTGTTGGTAAGTGCAATCATGGCGCCACACACTCAGCCCTTGTTAGACAGAGTCTCATGACATAGCCCTGGCCGGCTAGAATATGCTGTGTAAACCAAGCTGGCTTTGAACTGGCAACAATTCGCCTCTGCCTCCCAAGTCCTGGCATTACTGGCCAGTGCCACCACTTGGGTCTCCAAAACAGACTGTCATCTATCTGTAAGTCCATCATCATTTGCAAGAGCTACATGAGGATTCTTGCGCTTCACTGCTCTCTAGTCTTGTCCATGCTTCAGAGACAGAAGTAGCTCTCTTAAGACACTGCATCTTAAGCTCATTAGAGCGTTCTCTCAGCAGAGGACCTGGGTTTAATTCCCAACATCTCCATGGCAGCTCACACTTGTCTGTAACTCCGGTCCCAGGGAATCTGACCCTCTCTTCTGGCTTCCACAAGCACTGTACATACGTGGTGTACAAATATACTCACAGGCAAAACACCCACACGTATAAAGTAAACTTAAAGGTAAAAAAGTAATTTCACTGGAGTCTTCCTAAAGGGCAAATTAGGAAAGGGGCATCTGCAGAATGAGGAGATGAAAGTGGATAGGGATGAAAAGTGGAGACTGAGTGGGGAAGGTCAGAGGTGTTAGGAGAAAGTGGAGTGCAGGATTGAGTAGCTACATACCTCTGAGCTTAGGCTTGGTGGTTGCAAGTCCTTCGGTCAGATCTTTAACTGGGTTAGAGAGAGGAGTATTGGTCCTGACTGAGGGAATGGTTTTGCTGTTGATGAGCACCTGTAGGTGCTAAGAGGCCTGTTTTTAAGTTTGTTTGGGGAGACATGGGCATCTACGGACCTCTGCAAAGGGGCTCTGGCCCGAGTTGAAGAAGGGCAGAAAGGGAAAGGGACAAAAGAGGTCTAGGGCAGATGAAGGATTTGCTTGCCTGAAGCTTCTACAACCCAGGCCCGGAGGGGGGCGGCGAGCATTGGCTACCAGGGCAACCGGAATGCCCAGTAGTCTCCAGGGCAGCAGTAGTCTTCTAGTCAACATCTGCGAGGGTGAGTTTTCCTGAGGGGGGACCAGAGTTGAGCGAGTCTCTGTGCAAACATAGGAACGGGAGGACCATGATCCGAGAGGAGCCGGTTTTGTGCGTTTCTGGAAGGTTCCTGTACCGTTTGTGAGAAGCTGAGAGGGAACCCGGGTTAGGGTGAGACAGGCTCTCGGGTAGCAAGCCCAGCAGGCTTAAGCTAGAGGCCAATAGAATTGGACAGGGGCGGGCTTTGCTGAGAGGGACCAATCGAATGCAGCGCGGGGCGGAGTGCCAGGCGAGCGTCACGCCGAGGCCGCCGCAGGGCCTGCTTATCGCCGGTTCAACGCAGCCCGGAGTCGCCCAGGCCTGAACTCCTACCCAGGTCCCTGCCCCGGCCCCGGGCCCGCGTGGAAGCCGGAGGCCACCCCCGGGGGTGGGGAGCGGAGCCGCGGGTCAGCTCTGCGAGCATCGCTTGCTGGCCTGGCCGGCCCCGCCCCCGCCCCGGGCCATGGCCCAGCCCTTGTCCCGGCCCCTCATCCTATCCCAATCTCAGCCTTGGCCTCCGGCCACGCCCTCGCCCCGCATCCCAAACCGGCCCCGACCCCGGCCAGTGCCCCAGCGAATGCCCAGGCCCAGGTCCCCGCTCCAACCCCAGTCCCTGCCCCTGGCCTGGCCGTTATCTTCGCCTCGGCCCTCGTTCCACCCCTTGTCGCAATTCCCTGTCCCGCAGCTGGCCCTGTCCCATCCCCAGCGTTTGCTTAAACCCCTGGCCCAGCCCTTGCTCTTGTCTCCACCGCACACGCTCTTCCCATCACACCTCCTGCCCGTGTTTGAACCCCAGTGCTCAGTCCAGCGCAACCCAGTATTACAGGCTTTGCCCCCATCTCTGTGTTTGCCGAAGTCTCTCCCACTGGCTCCCCGCCTCTCTCATACTCTGCCCCTCTCCCAGCCTCGACTCAGGTCTGGGTTCCAGCTGCCGCCAGCCCTATTGCTGCTGTTGCTGTTTTCTGCCCTTGGTCCAGGAGCTGGTGAGTGCAGAATCTGAGAGGATGAGACAAGGATGGGGGTTCCGGGTGTGTCTGTGTATGTGGTGGTGGTGGTGGCTTGGAAAGAGTCAGGAGGGGTGGGACTTGGTGAGCTTGGTGACTGGGGAGAAGTGTGTATGTGGGGGGGGGGTAAGGGAGAGAAGGGCGTACACAAGAGATGGGTTGGCAGCCTTCGAGAGTGGAGGTGTTACTCAGCCAGTTCAGCAGGTGGCTAGTAGTTCTCAAGAGACTCTGGAAGTTCTCCTTTCCCGGAGAACCTGATTCCTGATTCCTGAGTCTGGCTTTCCCTGACTACAGGTTCACTGAGAGATAGTCTCAAGGGAATAAAGTAGCCTCTGGCCTCTCTGTATATATACATGTATATACATGTGTGTGTGTCACAAAGTCTTGGAGGCTTTGGTCCTTTGCTTCCAAAGGTTTATGGAGATGACATAAATCCACAGCAAGGAGATTCTATTCTAACCTGAGACACACTGAAAAGGGGCATGACTGAACGCTCCTGAGGGAGCAGTCTACAGACGGGGAAACTGAGGGGGCGATTTGTTCAAAGCTGTAATGTGTCTAAAATGGCAATAATGGGGCTAGAGAGAAGGTCTCCTGGTCCCTATGACGTGCTGGTCTCCCTCTCCAACTGCAAGACCAGATCCGCTGCTGGCCCAAAGCATAATCTCTTTTCTCCGTAGTCTGTCTGCAAGGGAGCTTAATTCATAAACTGACTCTTATTTGCCAGGTGTCAACTTACGTTCATCATCTAGTCCAGGAAGCCACTTGGTTAGAGTGATCCAGCCTTTTTGGCTGGAGGAGCGTCCTAGCCTGCGGGGCAGAGATGGTCCCCAGCCACCTTTGCTGAGTGGCGCTCCAAGAGAATGGAAATCGCCTGGATAGTGTTTGGCAATAAGATCTAGCAGCAGCTCAGGTGGAGGTGGGCTTCATTGACCTCAGTGGGCCTGCTTCAGTGTGTTCTGAGGTCCTCGTCCTGCGGAGATGTATGTGTATAGCAGGGAGCTGGGGGAATGGTATGTGTGCGCAGGTATTCCTCTTATATGTTGGTGACACGTATTGTATCTGAATGTAATGAGCTGATGAGTTTTTGGAGTGCGTATATTACTGTGTGAGCGGGAGGGAATGAGGGATGCCCACAGGTTCCTCAGCTTGGCCCACTCCTCTCATGAATATATCATCCTAGGCTTGAAGGAAGTGTTCCGTGTGTGTGTGAGCCTCGTGTGATTGTACACACCCATGTGTAGGCCAGAGGCGACTTTATTCCCTTGAGACTATCTCTCAGAGAATCTGAAGCCCCTATTACCCGCCTAAACCGCTTACCCTCACAGCCCAGTGCAGGGTCACAGTCATGCAGGCCATGCTTGGCTGCCGCCACTGCTCCTGCTCCCCTCTTCCTCCCCCTCCTTCTTCTCCCCCTCCTCCTCCCCTTCCTCTTCCCCTTCTTCCTTCTCCCCCCTCCTCTCTCCTCTTCCCCTTCCTTCTCCCCCTCCTCCTCCCCTTCTCCCATCTTCTCCTCTCCCTCCTTCTCCCTCTCACTCTTCCTCCCTCTCTTCCACCCTTCCTCCTCCCTCTCTTCCTCCTCCTTTTCCTCCTCCCCCCTCCTCCCCTTCCTCCTCTTCTTCCTCCTCCTCCTCCTGTGGGCCCTGGGGATTTCAAGTCAGGTTCTCAAACTTACATAGCAAGTATTGTTACTGACTGAATCACCTCCCTAGGCCTTGAGGGCCCTGCGTGCATCTTCCATCCAGTCTTTTGGAAGGAAGGGGCCGGGGTGGAGGGGGAGATATTTATTGTTGACTACAGTGCAGGCTTGGCACTTGCAGAAGCAGCTAACAATCAGCTTTTGGTTTTGATGGGGGGAGTTTGCACACACACACACAACAAACACACAATCTAGGTGATGGAGAAGCCATTTCATATTATTGTAGAAGGGACATCAGGACAAGCTCTTTTAGACTTGGATAGGGCCTCACTCATGTTTTCTCTGGGACATGGTTCTGGTAAGCCCTGTTCAAAACCCAAATTAAAGCGTGTGGTGAATAGGGGTGTTTCCCTAGGCCCACCCTGCCTCCAAACTCCTTCTGTGTTCCTCCCAAAGCTCCAAGCCGATACTTACTCCTTTCCCAACAAGTACGCCCTGTGACAGCCCCCCCTCCCCACCCCTGCTGCTAGCTTTGTCAGGGTTGGCTCGGCTCCCTGTTTGTCCAGGCAAGCTCTTTGTGCTTCTCTGATGCTGGCTTTAGGAGGAGCAGCCCTTCCCTAATCCCAGCAGAGGGCACTCTAGAGCTCTAGCTCCTGTAACAATGGCCTTCCAGGCTCTTCAGTGTTGGGCAGCCAGCAGCCAGTTTGGAGAGGCAGAGCTCTGAGGAAGCTGAACTCCCCCTTAGTTAGCCCCACTGCACTTCATCTGTCTTGAATACCTCCCACTGCTGTCTAAGTGCAAGTCAGAGCCTGTCTAGGTTCCTGGGAGTGCTCAGCTTGCAAGTTGACAGGGCTTTTTGTTTGCTTGTTTGCTTTGTTGAAGTTGATTGGCTGCATGGCACAGCAGAATCTAGTCCTTTGACACTGTCCTGGCTTTTGAGCCATTCTTCCACTTGAGCCAGTGTCTTCTGCTTGTGTAAGTCACCTCTTGAGTAGGACTCTTAAGTTGCCCAGTCTAGTGGGCTAACCTACCCTCCTTTTTCCTGAGGCCCATCTCTCTGCTGCTTTAAATATCTCATTATTGGAGTCACATGCCCCATCTGCAAGGCAGAGGTCTTCAGGTCAGGTAAGCCCTTTGGGTTTTTCTGTGTAGCTAAAAACTCCCGTCCAGAACCCTCCCTCCAATTTGTCTGTCTTGAAGTGCCTGTCTGTCCCCAGCTTTCCACCTGGGCTAGGGACGGCCACCACCCTCTCCTTTCCTCTGACCTATATGGTTTACCGTCACTGCTGTCCTCGTATGCTTGTTTGGGCAGTGACTTTCCTGCCACCCTCGCTCTGCCCCTGACTGTGATCAGGGACCTGAGCGGTTCAGCTAACCACATCCCCCCCACCCCGCAACCTGGCCTACTCCAGACACCCCCGTGTGGTCCGGATGCCACAGCCCTGCGGACGGCCTTCCGGGCCTGAGGGTCTCACCGCCCTCCTTCCCGGATGCTGTCTCGGTGGCCTGCCTGCTCCTGTTCTTGACTCTGCCACCCAGGCAGCTCCCCCAGGCCTCACCACACGCCCCCCTTCTGCCCCGGTTGGTATACAGGCAGCTCTTGTGAGCTTCTGAGAATTTCTGCAGCTCCTAACCACCAGGAAGTAGAAAAGGGCAGAAAACAAGCAAGTCACACAGTTCTGTGCTGACTCCCAAGCCCCACAGGTGGGGTGCTAGCGGCTTAAGAGCGAATGCCAGCACACACACACACACACACACACACACACACACACACACGCACGCACACGCACACACACACGCACGCACGCACGCACGCACACACGCACACACGCGCACGCGTGCACGCACGCGCGCACACACGCACACACGCGCACACACACGCACACACACACGCGCACACACACGCGCACACACACGCGCACACACACGCGCGCACACACACGCACGCACACACGCACGCACACACGCACACACGAACACACACACGCACACACACGCACACACATGCACATATACACCCATACCACCCACACACTACACACACACAGCACACCCATGTACACACCCATGTACCACACGCACACACCACCCACATGCACACACCCCACATACAGACACCACAGACACTCATCACACGTGCCCCCCACGCCCCCTACACGCCGCAGACACACACACCACACACTCCACACAACACACACACATAAACATACTTGTTTTGCTAGGCTTGATGGTGGAGAACAGTTCCTCCTGAGTGAGCAGCTGGGAAGTCTTAGGAAGGGTCCTAGGTTTAAATCCTCAGGTTTTCATTTTTGCAAGATGAGCTTTTTTAACATTTTTTAATTTATTACAATTTATTCACTTTGTATCCCAGCTGTAGCCCCTTCCCTTGTCCCCTCCCAATCCCACCCTCCCTCCCTCTTCTCCTCCCTGCCCCTCCCCCAGTCCGCTATAGGGAAGGTTCTCCTCCTCTTCCCTCTCCTCTGACTCTAGCTTATCTGGTCTCATCAGGACTGGCTACATTGTCTTCCTCTGTGGCCTGGTAAGGCTGTTCCTCCCTCAGGGGGATGTGATCAAAGAGCCAGCCCATGAATTCATGTCAGAGACAGTCCCTGTTCCCCTTACTAGGTAGGGAACCCACTTGGACGCTGAGCTGCCATGGGCTACTTCTGTGCAGGGGTTCTAGGTTATCTCCATGCATGGTCCTAGGTTGGCATATCAGTGTCAGAAGAGATCCCTGGGCCCAGATTTTTTGGTTCTGTTCCTCTCCTTATGGAGCTCCTGTCCCCTCCAGGTCTTTCTATCTCCTCCGTCTTTCATAAGGTTCCCTGAACTCTGTCCAACGTTTGGCTATGAGTCTCAGCATCTGCTTTGATAGAGTCTTTCAGAGGCCCTCTGTGGTAGGCTCCTGTCCGGTTCCCAGTTTTGTCCCTCTTCTGAAGTCCATCCAGTTTTCCTTTCTGAGTGAGGATTGATCATCTTACCCAGGGTCCCCCTCCTTGCTTAGCTTCTTTAGGTGTGCAGATTTTGGTATGTTTATCCTATAATATATGTCTAATATCCACTTATAAGGTGTCTTTCTTCTTCTGGGATACCTCACTCAGGATGATCTTTCCTAGTTCCCACCAGCAAGATGAATCTTTTAAGGACAAGGTTTCTGTGAGGAAGAAGACAGATGATGGCTAGGGCAGCGCAAGTTGCAGCTCCTGGCTGGCAGAGAGCGCTGCTGTTGACTTGGTGCTGTTGGTGAAAATGGGTACGATGGAAATGCCTGTGTCCCTCCCCTTCTCCTCACTTCTGCTTCCCAGGAGGCCTTTTCCTGACCGACTACTCCACCTGCTCGCCACGCAAGCTCAGCCCCTTTCGATCCTTTGCCAGCACCGAACTCTTCCACTTCCATGTTCCTGAGGACACATTCCTGGCTGTTTGGAATCTCATCATCTTCAAGGAGCAGGGAGGAACCTTTGGTGATCACTGCCCAGATCAAAGTGTGACTGTGTGAGTGTTTGAAGTTCCATTCTGGAACCCCAATTTCCAGCCCTTGTCACTTTCCAAACTGAAGTATGACTGTTGGAGGTCTAAACATGCTTCCTGACCCTGATCTTGACCCCTATCTAGGTTGAAGTGTCACTTGGGGGTCATGACCTCTGTCACCTGAGCACTTGTCCCTTATGGACTTGACCCTTGACCTGGACCCATTTTATGGTATATGCCAGTGTAGGAAATCCGTTTGTTTTACTAGTGGTGAATGAAGTTCTTTTTTAACACCTATTTCCCGATTCCTACCCCATGGCCTGCTTTTCTCTCTTTCTCATTGTTGGCCCCCAGGTATTTCCGATCTGGAGCACCTCCTGTCATCAATCCTCTGCACACACACTTTCCAGCAGATACAGCTGTGCCTGGGGTCTTCTCCCTGACGCTCAGCTGGACACTGCCCAACAGAACCTCAGGCATCTTTAACGTCAGCAGCCCCTTACCTGGGGACTGGTTCTTGGCTGCCCACCTTCCCCAAGCCCATGGCCACATCTCTGTCAAGGTGGGTTGATCTTACCCCCCAGGACAGGAGGGGCCTTATCTTCCCTTCCATCCCTGCTGAATGCTCACGAGCATCAAAACCTTGTTACCGGAATGGGCACTGGCACCAGAATTTCTGTGCTGGGCCACCGTTGGAGGCCAGCAGGTTATCTGGTGGGGTGGTCTGCAGAAGGACATAGTGACTCCAGGAAAGCTGGAGAGAAATTACAGATTCTGGAATGAGGCCTTGGAACGGGGCAGCTGTATCCCTTCCTATTGGCAGCCACTAAGGTGAACCAGGGTGGCCACACCTATCTGGGCCTGGTGGGATCTGCTGTACAAAACCAGCACTGGTTTTGTTTTCCATTTTGGTTGGCATAGCCCTGCAACCTCTCTCAGGCCACATCCTCATCTCTAGCCCGCACGCCATGGTTTCAGGTCTCTCTTTTGCCCTGTGAGGAACCATAAGAGAAGGTTTTCCTAATAAAAGAGGCTTTGGCTAGCTGATATTCTCCCTGTCTGTTGCCTCCCTTTGCTATGAATATCAGCACTGATTCTAACATATCAGAGCTTGTCTGTTGAAGGGCAGACTCAAAGGGCAGGATGCTTCTTTGGTTTGGAGTGAAAAAAAAAAAAGTAGCACAATGTTTTCCTGCCATTCTTTTGTGCTTGACAAGTTGGGATTCCTCCTTGTGGTAAGGACATAGGTATGTCTCCTACTTCTGCCCATTGCAGGAGAGGGATGCTATGATGAGTTGGCCACTATTAGTCTATTAGCCACGTGTGGGCGACTTTGGTAAGAGTGAGGACAGAACATAAACAGAACAGGGTTTATATAGATTATATAATGAGCATTACAAAGCTGGAAAGCTAGTGGGGTTTGGCTGTTGGGGGTCAAGAGGGACAGCAATTCCCAATCAGGTGAAAATTGGCTCTAAATTGGCACCGTGCCAAGACCAGTCTAGGCTGAGAATGTGCTGGGAGGTCACCTGGGACAGCTCTGGGCTCTTGATTCAGGTCAGAACTAAGGATTTTTCTCCTACAGGGAATGTCTTCATTGATCTTTGGCTAAATCTCAAAGAGCCTGCCCCTTAACTCAGCCACGGCCTTGCTTCACTTTGTAAAAACTGATGGGAAAGTCTTCTAGCCCCTGTTCTGCTTGTCCATCTCCTCAGGTGGACAGGAAGTACCTAGAGCCTAGACCTGGGTAGGCCTGTGTGGGTGTGGAGTGGCCGAAGTGGCTTGAGGGTAGCAGTACAGAGCTTAATGCCTGATTCACAGTCTCTTGACCCCTGGGCAGCAGAAGAAGAACCAGGCCTGGCATACGTGTTTCTGTCTAGAGAAAGTAGGCAGTGCCGGGCACCTGGTACTAGTAGCCTGGTGAGACCAGGGAGAAAAAGGCACAGTTCACTGTCTCCCACTGGAGGCTGCATGTCTGAGCATCATGAAGTGTAGCTTTTTGGATGTGCCTGTTCTAGAGGATGGGTGGACAAGGAGGGGGAGGTGTTAGGCAGTGAGGCCTGACAGGGAGGAGCCTGGGAAGGTGTGTCAGCTGTGGGAGCTCGGGAGGGCTGAGGGGAGCCAGCATGAGTGGTGAAGGAGGTGGAAGGGTGGACAGACCAGACTGTGCCCTGAGAGTGACGGGGAGCCTCAAAAGGCTGGCGTTCTCTAGGCCTGACCCTCTCCTGAATCACCTGGCACAGAGCTAGCATGTGGCGAGGCTCGGCAGGTTTTTGTGGCAACCTTCTCAAACTCTGACTGCCCTAGGCTGACCTCATGACCCCTGTCCTTGTCACCTCTTTTTGTCAGCTCATTGTCTTCCATGTCTTAGCTGCTCATTCTAAGGCTCCCACCTTGGGGTTGTGGACCCAGCTAGCACCTGATAGCTTATCAATAGAGTTTTCCCACATAGCTGGGCATAGGCCTTGAAGGCCTTCTCTTTCCAGTCTAAGATTTGGGTATAAATAAAATCAGGTAAAATAATGAAAACATCTAGTTAGAAAGCACAGAGGCCAGCGGTTTAGAAGGCAGCAGCCCTCGGATGATGAGAAAGCCTTTCAGCATCTCAGCCACAGTAGCTACACCTGCCCACGGAGGCTCCCGCTGCTAAGTTGTCTTATTTACATTTCAAACAGGTGACAGGTGCACCTGTGCAGCCTTTGACAGGCACAAGAGGCCCACGGTGAAAGTGAGCCTCCCTTCCCTCCCGTCAGTTTGGAGTGTCTCTCTGCATAGGTAGCTAGCCCCCAGGCTTTCTCTCTTTCTGTAGATTGGTCTTTCCTTCTTGGCCATTCTCCGCTTGGCGGTCACGGCTCCACCGTCCTGCTTCCCCTGACCTATGTGTGCTGTTCTGGCCTGATGCTTGGCCCCGGGAGAACTCCTTTTTGTATTTTATTCTCTTGTTTGGCATCTATGGCACAGGTGTTTGAAATACCATGTATGAGTTGATGCCACATGAGAGCAGACAGCCAGGCCTATGTTCCTCGAATCTCAAACTTTCTGTCTACCAGCTTTGACACCTTCACTTGCCCGCCTGCGAGCAGTCTCAAGCTTGATATGTATAAAGCAGGGAAAAGCCCAGAGCTCAGTAATTCCACTGGTTTCCACTCTAGGCCTTTTTCCTGGTTGCCTTCTTCCTAGTAAATAGTACTGATACCCTCTGGGTGTTCAAATATCAAATGTCACTCTTAAGTCTTACTCTTCTTACTTCCCCATGACCAATTCGTAAAGTCTCGTTCCTCAACTTGAAATGCTTTCTGTAGCTGCATCTCCACCTCTGCACTTAGCACATCTTCTCTGGTGCTTTCCTGTGTGCCACGGTAACCTCCTAAATGGTCACTCGGTTTCCTTCCTGCCCCTGCCTTCTTTCCTTTCCCCATTCACTTCTGCATTGATCAGTATTGGTTGGCTGAGGGCAAGAAAGCTGTGCTGGCTGCAGAGGAAGCCACTAGTCCTTGGGCATGTTCATTCTGCAAACCTGTCTTAGTTAGGGGTTCTATTGCCGTGATGGAACACCATGACCAAAAGCAGTGTGGGAGGAAAGGGCTTCTTTCAGTTTACAGCTGTCAGGTCAGACTCCATTGCTGAGGGAAGTCAGGGCAGGAATCTGGAGGCAGGAGGTGATGCAGAGGCCATGGAGGAATGCTGCTTACTGGCTTGTTCTTCATAGTTTACTCAGCTTGCTTTTGTTGGACCCAGGACCACCTGCCCAGGGGTGGGCCGCAGTGAGCTGGGCCTTCCCACATTAATCATCAATCAAGAAAATACACCACAGGCTTGCCTGTCTGGTGGGGGCGTTTTATCAATTGAAGTTTCTTTCCAAAATGACTCTACCTTGTGTCAAGTTGACACAAAACCAGCCAGTATAAAGCCCCATTCAGGGCCTGAAATTTCTTAAAGAAACTTAGCCCGATCGGGCATGGTGCCTCATATCTGTAATCCTATACCTGAGAGGCTGAGGCAGGAGGATTGCCATGAATTGTAATTAGCCTGGATCACAGGGTGAGTTCAAGGCTAGGACTACAGTATAAGACCCTGTACCCACTGTAAAGAAAAGAAAGAAAGAAAGAAAGAAAGAAAGAAAGAAAGAAAGAAAGAAA